TTGAGAGAAATAGGCCTTTTGTGTACATAGAAAAAGTCTTAGATCTTTGAGTTCAGCTCATGAAAAATGGGGGCAAAAACAAAAGTGTTGCGTTTATAATTTTGTTCAGTGTATGTATAAGCATGTATGTAAAGATGAACCCATAAACGCAATATGCCAAGTTTCACGTTAAGCATTTAAGCTAAACCATTTTAAACAAAGCACTTAAAAGTGTAATTTAGCACGTTGTGTTGATATTCTAGGCTCATCTGCTTGCCTGTATATACTGTAGTATGCATCGTCCATAAAGTGTATTAATTTGATCTTTATTATCACTGTCTTGGTACATTAGGCAGGGCTGTACAGTGCGACATGTATGTCGCACGTGCTACGAAAAAACTGGTCTGTGCGATTAATCTAATAACAAAGATAAAATAATGACAAAGATTTTTATCTTTGCTCACTTTGGCCTAAATGTCTGCCATTCTTTTTTTATTTTATATTTTGTTAAGGTGTAAGAGGTGTTATGTTTCTGCACTCTTGCATTTTTAGCAAATTAAGAAAACTTTGTCTAAAAACAATTTTTGTGATTGTTTGTATTTTTTGTGCTCTGTATGGAACATCGGTGCCTTTTTAAGTGATGAACTCCATTACTTGTGTTTGTTTTCAGACATGATAACAGACGTTTTATACTTGTGCTACAACTTTTTGGCCTGTGCTACAAAACTTTCAACCTCTGTAGCACCAGTGCTATGTGAAAAAAAAAGTTAACGTACAGCCCTGACATTAGGGCATGTTAAGTGTTTTTCACAATGTTTAGACACAGTTTTATTAACCTTTGGCAAACTTACATTTAAGGAGGGATCCCAGCCATATCCAAGGATCATATCATACTTGGGGGTGGATTATTTTGACATTTAATTTTTCAGCCTTTTTCTTGCGTGGAAATCTATGTCATTGCATGTCATGTATCAGTATGTTGCAACATATTATCACAAAATTAGAATACAATTCTGTTTGTATTATAGTTTAGGGAAGCACATTCTTGGCTGCACCAAAAGCTTCTAGATGCTCATAAAATTCAAACGAGTTCAGTGGTCTGTGGGTGAAGCCTTCAAATGCACTAAAGTGCCATATTCTGACACATGTACACAAGTGTTAGAGGAAGTGAGGAGGATTGCAAAATGTAACAGGAAGAGTGGTTGTATCAAAAACGGTTCTGCTTTGAACACATGCTGGCCAGCTGCAAACAGATATCACACTTCTTAGGGTTATTACAGTTTCATTATCTCATTTCATTATGTATTATGGTTTTTAATTTCAGTTTAGTTTTAGATAGATATATGGTATTTTGTTACGGCTGTTGTTGTTAGTTTTTATCCATTATAGCATACTGTTGCACCAAATTGTAGACCAGCAATCTGCAACATCACACAGCACTTTATCAGATATACTGTAAAGTAAACTCACTTCAAAGTTTGTTAGTCTCATTAACAAGAATGCAGCATATTGCAGTACTCGCTGACAATGAAATGTTATAAATATCCCCCTATGGCTACATTTACCAGTGTTTGTAACATCCTTCATTCTCCACATTGGAGAACAACTAGTTGCAGATTAGAAGGTTTATGGCATATAGACTTTGAAATATATATATATATATATATATATATATATATATATTCAAGAACTTTATTGAACTTTGTCATGATTGTTTTGGTTTTGCACACCCCTAAATGTCGTGCACAAAAAGCAAACTGTGGTGGGCTGTTTTATACTGTATGTTGATCAGGCTCTTCCTTCCTGTGTAATTTTATTTTTTTTAAATATGTAAATTAATACCAGGCTTGGGAGATTGATTAAATCACACCATCCAGCATGAACTGAAAATATAAGAACCATCTTTTTTATGTTTTTCTTTAGTTTTTTTTTTCATGCTAACTTTGACGTTTCCATCATTCGTAGGAGTTTGAATATGTATTACGTGCTTTTTAAGAGTGTTTAGTTCAAATACATTATGGGGACGAAAATGTAGGAAACATGTCCTCGCTGCAGCTAAGTAAACATACTAAAATTTATTAATGAAAATATTAGTGAAAAAGTTTAAAGTTGTTTATTGTTAGAGCAGTTGTTCTCAACCACTAAGGGGCTCGGCAAAATTCCAGTATTTAAAACAATTATTAATATGCGATTTGTATTTCTTTTCATCACAACGAATAATGGTTAATTAATTGAATATCAACACTCCCAGTTTCTGTTGGAGTCGGATGCAAACTCAGTTGGTTAAGGACTTGGACTTGACTTGGACCCAACAACACTATCTTTTAATAAAAATAAAAAAATAAAAAAGTAAAAAAAGCATAGACTAAAGGTATCAATAAAAGGCTTCTGTAATCAAACTAATACCAGTATGTGTTTTCTCTCTTCTCAGTCCCCTGCTTTATTAATCCCACCTGCGTCATTGACTCGACTGTCGTCACGTTTGCGTCAAAGTGAAGAGAGACTAGATCTGGAGCTGGAGAAAGTCTTCACACATAATTCATCAGTTCACCACTCTGGAGTAGGCTTAGCACTTTTCACCATTTTAACTGATTGTGAAGACTGATATCATGCAAATTTGCATATTCAAACTTGCAAAACTGGAAACCTTCAAGTAATTGTAATATTGTGTGTATTTTTTTTATTTTTATTTTTTTATTTAGCTGTATGAGGTTCCTGATGGCCACAGGGCTCCTGTTCCACACCTGAGCTCCAGGAGTGGATTTCAGATTGGATCTTCCTGTGTAGCTTCCCACTCTTCTTCTTCCTCATCCACATCTTGCTCTCCACAGCGCCCTCTAGAACTCGACTCTGGTAGGTCTGTTTTTCTTCAGTGATGGAACGTCCGGTTCTTTTCCGCAAACCGGTTCTTTTGGACAGTTTGTTTCAATGAACCGGTTAAAAAAAAAAAAAACGGTTCACCGGTTCTTTTACACCCTAATGTAATTACGTGATGACGTAATGATGTCAAGTCTATCGTCCCGTGCCGGGATGAAAATACACTCAACACATTCAAATATATGAAGTCAGTAATCATAACTTCAGTCAGTTAAAACATCATCATCATGATCTGATAAGATTCTTACAGTTAAGTTTTGCAACTAAAGCACCCAAATACAGGTAGTGATGTGCAAACGAGGATGTTTTACAAGTCTTGAAGATATAAAGTGAATAAATTAGCCTTCATCAGTGCTGAAACCATGATCCACTTACGATGCATAATGCATTATGTTATTAAATAAACTTACGTTTCGCTAGATTGGCCCCCTCCAGGCAGTCGGTCATGTACTGTTTGGAAGCTTTACGCTGAATCACACATGCACAGTGTTATCAGCTCATCTGTTCTTAAATCAGACGTGTCCGAAAGAAACAGTTTCCAGTTTAGTGTACTGGTGATTTGAAAACCGTTGCAACCGATTCTATACTCGGGAACGAGATCGAGATTCGAAGAACTGCGATTCAAAAGGAGCTGCTTGCTTTGCTCTCGCGGTAGTTTGATTACATCATTTTTAGCTTTATATCACCTTATTACCAATACCATGGATTATTTATGAAACAAATAAATGTTTAGTTTGATAGTTTTACAAACAATTAATTGTTCAAATAATTAACATGAAAACCCAACTAGACAACTTTTACTTTAATGTTTTTTAAACAACATTAAAATAGAAAAATTAATTTGTACAAATATTTCTGAACATTAGATGGTTTGATCTGTGTACAAATATTTATGTTCATGTTGCGCATGTAGTTTCTTGTATATACAGTATATATTTTGTATGCTATTAATCTGTTATGGTGTATTTGGAAAAGCACAAACTTTTTGTATTCCACAATTTGGTTTTTCTTTACAGTATTACAGCAAATGCTAAAATACTTTCAAGGACAAAAGTTAAGAGGAATATAGAGCAAACTATTATCTCTTGGTTAGGCTTATTAATCTGTCTAGACTCCCTGTTGCCAAGGGAGAGTGGGTGTAACCTCAAAAGTCAAAGGGCATAAACTACCCCTTCCACCACATAGCTGTATGCTGTACAGTGTGTTAAGTGTGTAAGTGCATTTTTTCAGCAATTGCTCTTTGTTAAAATTGTATTGTTTGAACACTCAATTGTTTCTTTGTGAATGTGTCATCATTAACTATAATTACAGTACACTTGTTTCCTATTAAACATAGCATCTCAATTATTATGGTTCAACATCCCTGACCGAGATCATAAAAACCCCTTTAGCCTATAACCTAAGAGAATCCTCAACTGAACACACAAAGTCCTTTAACACAGATACATTCATCTTTAAAAAAATAAATACATAAATAAAATGAATAATACTTTAAAGGTGTTTCCTTTGCTCCATCAGTTGTTTCAAAAACTGTAATGCAGCCGTGTATGTTCGTTAGTACATGGCACGCTGCACACATGCTCAGTATATCAATATCAGCTGCTCTGGGTTGTGGCTAGAAAGGATACAGCAAAAACCGGAAGCTAACAATTGTCGCTCGGCTCGGCTAATGTCCATCCAGTGCACTGAACGCTCTCTCTCCTCCACATCATGAGTAGACACGCCCCTTACTGCTGATTGGCTACAAGTTTGTTTTGCTAGTCGGCCCGAATCAGTTTTCGAAGGGTGCTTTCACACTAGCACTTTTGGTGTGCACCCGGGTTCGATTGACGTCAGAGTTCGGTTCGTTTGGATTATATGAACGCTGTCTTCCGACCTCGGATGCGCACCCGCGAACCGTACCCGAATCCGCTTAAAAAGGGTGGTCTGGGGTACGGTTCATGTGAACTCCGATACGGTTCGCTGCTGATGTGAACGCAATCGTACCAAATCACGAAAGTGAACCTCTAATAATGACGTATTATTTGATAAAAATGTGTTTATGTGTGTGTTTCACTCACTTTCCTGTTGAGCGTGACTGACGCGCTGCAACAGAGCTGTATATCTCATTTCTGTTCGCCTTCAGCATTCTTTAGAGCATTTGCAGTACATTCGTAAGACAGATGTAAGTGTCGTTTTGTACCGAAGCTTTGCAAACAAAACGAATGGTAAAAAAATTAAAATATATAAAAGTGCAGAGAGCAATGTTATGCATTTGACGCCTTCTCCTGCGCCGTTGTTACTAAGCAACGGGGTAAACAGCTGCTGGCTTGATGACGCAAACGAACCGCGGTTCGGACCCAAATAAAATAATATGAACGCAGTCCAGCGGGGGCAGGGGGAGGGGGGAGCAATCGAACTCTGGTTCGGACCAAGCAAGGGAACCAAGTGTGAAAGCACCCTAAAGTGTTTTTGAAAAATCGCTTACCCCACCTTTAATCGCTGCTCTGCTCGTTATCAGTTCTCTTTTCACAGCAGTTCAGTCAGTGTACTGTTGGATTAAATGAATAACTCCGGGATATTGGTTTATTTCGAGTCAGAGGGAGTGTCAGTCACATCAAAAAGTGAGTAACTTAAGTAATTTCTGGATTAGTGCTTACTGGAGATGCAAACTGTTTCAAACGATTCAATCCGATTTGTTGAACTGGTTCGACCGGTTCACTACAAAGAATCGGTTCAATAGAAAGATTTGTTCGCAAACTGGACACCACAATTTTTTTTCAAACTCTTGCTGATACATCACCATCATGGTGTTATTCCTGTCAAAAACTCAACTATGTATTGGGGTTACCAGACATCCATTTTCTGGACACAATTTGGTTTTTGGTGTCCTGTCCCCGGAAATATCCCTGTTTTTTAGCACATTCAAAACACCCTGCAAAAAATCCTGACTAACATACCCTGCTGGTTACCAGGGTAATTGTGTAGTGATTATTTTCACCAACAGAGGGCTGCAGTCTACACTGATTAAATTAATGTAATATTTGTTTTAATGTTTGTACAGTATGTACTATATATCCTGAACAGAGTGGGGGATTGTTTTGCATACAATTTTAAATCATTCACAAAAGTTGCGCTCAACATGCTTCATTTGGGTTACGGAAGTCGTCAGGATCCGATTCTGGATCTAATATATATGGCTGGATCTGAATTTAATTTAATTTAAGTTAATTTAAGTCAATAAAGTTTTTGCTCCTGTTTTATTTGTCAAAGCATCGCGTGCTCGTGACTCTAAAACTCCGCCCACGGCACGCCTCCAGGAGCTCGAATGTTTTCAGAGAGAAGTGTAAAGCTGTATCTGTCTTATATAAATTTGCTAAAACTAAAGAGTCTTCCGAGATATGAAGGATGCAATACTACTCTATAGGCAGAGGCGAACCAAGATGAAGTGGGGGCCCCAGGCAAAATTAATAGAGGGGGCCCCAGGCAAAATTAATAGATGAGGCCCTTCTAAAAGATTTTGTTAATATATCTTCGTTACCTAGATATATATTTATACAACATACAAAACGTAGTTAAAACACATATAATAGAACATAAATTGTGAACAGGCTGAACTCAAAATAAAACCCAATTAAAGTGTCTCTGTCCATAACATAACATTACAACAAGAAGAATGCGCACGCGGACAGGAAGTACAACTAATTATTATTTTGTGTGCACGATTTACCTAGAACGAGGGCACGAATTATTATATCAAGCACATGATTTACTTAAATCGAGGGAACGAATTAATAAATTGTGCGCATGATCTAGTAAATCGAGGTAACGAATTAATAAATTGTGCCCATGATTTATTTTTTCTTGCATGTCATGTGCAGGGCTCCGTACTACACAATATGCTGCTGCTAAGTGCAACCATAGCTAACCTCTTTCCCAGTAACCATATTAGTAATTGGACTATTACCAGTAATTCATCTTGCAAATAATTAAACGAAAATAAGCTGGAATTAACAACAAAAACATTTGTCTGTCATATAATTATCCTTATATTCACAGTTTGTGGACATCTCATTTTGTAATGTGTGTGTTTTTTAAATAATTTTGTTAGAATACTATTTTTATCTGTTTGCTAAAAAACATACAAAAATGTATTGTCCCCATTTTTAATTCATAGATAATAACAAGTGAGATTTCAAGTATATTATGACCACCCAACTAGGAAATGCCCCCGGTTTCCATTTTATAAATCTGGCCACTTTACTATGTATCTTTGTTTAATTTGAACTGACACTGCTCTGTCCTCAGTTGAGGAGGTCAGCTCATGTATCCTAAAGCTGTCCTCATCACCACGGCCCAATAACAGCTACTGCTTTCAGAGAGATCCACCAGAGGGTTGTGAGAGAGTCCGAGTGTGTGAAGAAAACGTGTAAGTAGGCATACAATGCTAAGGTGTTGCTCTGTGGTTGCTGTTGGTGTTCTGAGTGGTTAATGCAGTCTTGACTATTGTGCATCTTGTGCATTTTTTTTCCACCCCATCCTCAAATTCAGCCTTCCATGTTTGGACCAAGTGTACATGTTCTCCTGCCCCAACCCAAACAAAGTGAACTTCTCCACACACACAGGCTCAGCCTTCTGCCCTTTCAATCTCCCGAAGCCCCTCCTACCTCCAGTGGACTTCCTGATCTGCAGCCTCTCAGTTTCTCCAGGGTCCTGCTGGGTGGGACAGTGAGGCGTTAATAACAAAAGAAAAAACTGTGAATGTGGCATCTGTTACTCTGTGTGAGAAAAAAAAGTCAGAAAGTGACTGTCTTTAAAAACACTCAGTACTTTTTAATATTGCATTTGCCTAGTATGTGACCTTACTTTTAAAAATGAAATTTTTTCATTGTTAAATGGTGGGAAAAGTAAAAGCTTATTTTCTAATTTAAAAAGTAATTGTAATAAGAGAATACCACATTTCTTTGTGAGTCAGTGAGAGTGGTGAAAATATCCTGTTGGAATGGCGGACTTGATAGATTTATGGATTAATAATTTGGGCAGTTATATTCACTATAAGGAGAAGGCTGTTCTTATAGATAATGAATGTTGAATAGGCCAATGGTACTATTAAGGCAATGCTTGTATTTTAAATTAGCATTTTACCACCCACTTCAGTGTTACAATTAAAAAATAAATTGGCAAATGCATTTTTTTAAATATTTTTACTTTAGTTTTATTTAGTTTTGATTATTGAAAAGTTTATTGAAGAAAGTATGTGGGTGGATTATTACAGTCATAGACCACATCAGTAGGTATATTTATGTTCTTATTTAAATTGAATGTTACAGTCATACTCTTAATGGTACATTTAAATTCACCCTTTATAATTTTTTCAAAAGTAGAGTGTTTTTTTTGTGCCTAATGAATGTTTACATGGTATACCTTGAACATATGCTATTTTTATATTTGTTTAGATGAATCTGTACGTGAATGTACGATTAGTTAGGAGCTCTGTACTGTTTGCACATATATTTTTGCTAAAGATAAGCTATAGAATGTAAATGGTGACATTATCTGACTTCAAAGTATTTCTTTATTCAATACGCTCATTGCGCACATGATGTTTTTTTTTGTTTTTTTTACTTTGGTTTACTTTAATATTCAGATGAGTTTAAACTTGCCTTCCCATTGGAAAGTGCATGGGAAACTACGTGTGCATTGATGATACATTATTTACTCTTTTCTTTCTATAGATCACTTAAATTCTTGCATGTCTGCAATGCGTTTTGGCACCGATAAAGTAGAATTGAGCAACAATAGTGGGTGAATGTGTGCTCTGTCTTAATAAATTCCAAGTGGGTGATATTATAGAAATAACATACTGTGATTTTGACTGTCAAGATTATCAAAAGAAAAATTATTAAGTGCTAATCTCAGGCAATATCAGGCATCCCTTCACACTCCGCTTCAGAAGCACACATCAGAGCGTTACAAACACCATCAGATCACTCATTAATTCTGCTGTATAGATATATTTTGGGAGTTTGACATGCTGAGTACCGTATTGAAACAAGTGAAAAGCCACCCGGCTGTAAGTACAGGTGCATCTCAATAAATTAGAATGTCGTGGAAAAGTTCATTTATTTCAGTAATTCAACTCAAATTGTGAAACTCGTGTATTAAATAAATTCAATGCACACAGACTGAAGTAGTTTAAGTCTTTGGTTCTTTTAATTGTGATGATTTTGGCTCACATTTAACAAAAACCCACCAATTCACTATCTAATCACTAGCTAATATTCAGTATGCCAGAGCAAACTGCAGAGGTTATGAAGAACAAGGGTCAACACTAATATTGTCTCATATTTTTTTCGCAATAAAAGCCTTTAAAACTTATGATATGCTTATCATTGTTTTTCAGTATACCATAGAAACATGTGGAAAAATAATCTACAAATACTGAAGCAGCAAACTTTGCAAAACACAAAATTTATGTCATGGCCAAAACTTTTGCCACTAAAACCACTAATTTCCAATTTATGACCGATTGAAATCTGTCAACAGATGGGATCACAAGAATAACCCAGAGCCTTGGAACAAACTGGGGCCAAATGACCAGTACAAGGTGAAAACATTCATGTAGACTTTTTGGCCATTTAGAAGTATCCATCTTATAGCCTATAATACAGGTACATCTCAAAAAATTAGAATATCATGAAAAAGGTCAATATTTTTTGTCACTCATTTCAGAAAGTGAAACCCATATATTATATAGATTCATTACACAGAGTGAAATATTTCAAGCCTTTATTTCTTGAAATTTTGATGATTATGGCTTGCAGATAATGAAAACCCAAAATTCAGTGTCTCAGAAAATTAGAATATTACATAAGATCAATAAAAAAAGGATATTTTAAACAGAAATGTCAGGCTTCTGAAAAGTATGTTCATTTCTATGCACTCAATACTTGGTTGGGCCTCCTTTTGCATGAATTACTGCATCAATGCGGCGTGGCATGGAGGCAATCAGCCTGTGGCACTGCTCAGGTGTAATGGAAGCCCAGGTTGCTTTGATAGCGGCCTTCAGGTCATCTGCATTGTTGGG